CACTCGTATAAAGCAGATATACTGGACAGTAAAGGGTAAACTTTCCCTGTTCACAGTTAAGAGCATTGCCTTAATCTTTTATCTAGGCCTGCTTTTCAGTGGCACTTGATACAGGAGCTATACGAAACACTTCCTTGAATACATAAAGCCAGAGATTGAGTTACACATGATTGAAGATCTATGCCGCTAGTAAAACAAAAGCTCCTGTATTACCTGGCACATGCCTGCTAAATTATTGAAGCGTCTCTTCAAACTGAATATATTCACTGGATAATTAGTCAACAGAAGAAAACGGTCTCTCTTTACACAGCTAATGTTGACGGGCATTGTACCTTCTATGCACTGTAACAAAGAGTATTTGCAGAACTGATGCAACACAAACATTTGGAATGGCTCCGTCAGCATGCAAGTGGTCCTGCCGCACATGGTCCTCTTTGTGATACTGCCTCAGCCTTGTGTTACCTTACAAGCAAGTCCCGAACAGCCTGAATTCGTTTTTCCTCATGTAGCACTACCCCTGTTTCAGAAGCAGGTAAATGGTACAAATGAACAGAGGCTTGGTTTGCACTGGGGGGATGAAGGAGGTGTTTGCACACCTGTCACCAGCCCTGTGCTATGCCAGCCTGCACTGTGGCGGCAGGAGGGACCTCCCCGCATCACTGCCTCTTGTCATTCCTAAAGCCTGTAGCTGTGATATCCCCATCCACTCCAACAGCTGCATTCTCATGAGCTTGTTTCCCGCTGTGGATTCCTGGGAGCACAGGAATCCACGTGTACACAGAACATGTCACACCATGGAAATACCGGTTAGTGTCTGCCCACTGAAAGCATCTCAGCCAACCAGGTGATGTTGCTTTATTCTGACCTGGCAAGGGGAGAAGAGTAGCAGTTTCCATGCTTCAAATGGCTGTTCTATCGCTGAGAACAGTACAGTGGTCTCTGTAATGCCGGTATAAAAACCTAAGCTTATCTGGAAATAAGAATAGATGCCTTTCAGCTTTTTGTTTCAAACTATGCCTGTGCCCTGACACTAAGGGGACAGACAAGTTCTCTTAGGGACCCTTGACAGAATGGTGGCATTATATCATATTTACAGTTAAAGCTTTATTTTATTAACAAGATATAATGATTCTTATAGCACAGACTTTAGGATTAGAATGGCACACAATTTCTACAAGTAGAACCAATACAGTATAATACATAAGTAACATAATGGAGAATTTGTAATACAATGACTTATAATTTCTTATCACCTGGACCCTCTGCAGCTCAGGTCAGATCTTAATACATGGTTTCCTTTATCAATGTAACAATCTAGACTCAAAGATCATATAAAAGAATATGAGTCACTCACTTGATCCTCAAAGGAAGCAGAAGATGGTGTAATGGAAGCACCCCTGGCCACAGGGCATCATGGTCTCACTGTCCAGCAGCAGCTTGGGTCCAAGATGCCACTTAGGACCTGTAAGTGCTTGATTGTATAGACAGTGTGGTGTGTGCTGTTACGCTTCCCTGTTGTGTCCCCACCACGGGGCTGGCTGGGTGCCTGGGACCTTCAAGGCCAGTGAGGAAGGGAGGAATCGTCCTGGTGCCCGGGAGTCCTGAGGTGGGCAGGGAGGGGAAGAAGGAATCTGTTTGGTTTGTCTGCAGGGTTCACAGGACCTTCAGGACCTGATAGTGAGTTAAAGGGAGTGAATGCATGACCCGCTCGGCTGCAGAGGATGGCTGCTTGCCTTACAAAGTGCCTTTAGGCACACCAACCACATCCCTGGGGTCAGGAGCAGCGGGGGAACTGGTCACATATGCCCCAAGGACAAAACAGCTAGCTACCTGGGGTAAATAAGCGATTTAAAACCACACTCAAATCTTGTAATCCAAGACTATTTCTCTCTTTCATTATCTTGTGCATTTCCCAGCCTTGAAAATGAAAACTGCATTTCAAACTTCAGGAAAAAAAATACACTTGTTTTTACACTGCATATCACTGAGCCTACCTGTTTTGGAGTTATTTTAGTGAAGTGTTTTTACTGGCTTTTTTCTTTCTTCCTGCAAGAAATCCAACTTAGACAAAAACATAGCACTGCTTACCAGCTTTAAACCTATAGTCTTCTATGACAGCAGTATGAAAATTAGTCAAAGTTACTAAGATTTGTCTTAGAGGGGAAAATTACTAGAGCTCTAATAGCCCATAGTCCGGTTCATACAAAACTGACTCGGTTCCACTCGCGCCTAATCTTTAATTCCTTAAATGTCTGTTCTCCAAACATGCTACCAACACGTTTAACTGCTACCGAGGGCCCCAAAACTCGGGCCACCACACAGATGTCTGCAGGGAAAGCTTTGGTTATGAAGCCATCAACACTGCCATCCCCTGGCACAACAGGAGCTTTACAGCAACAGCTTTAAATTGCACGTGCGTACTGCAACTGCTGGGTAGAACATTTCACTAGGGAATTAATGTTATTCTCACTTTGTTCCATTCATTGGTTTGTGTTGCAGCAATAGATGATAATGCTCCATCCCTGGCAGTGTTCAAGGCCAGGTTGGACAATAGTTTGATTGGAGCTTCCCACATACCCTTAACCCCAGCTCTATCTCAAATCCATTCTCCTCTGGAGAATGACTCTAACCTGCTTTCCCAGCTGAAGAGCTAGGCTGGAGTACTCACCAAGCCAGCTATTGCATTTCATCTGACAGATGGTAAATTAAGATACTCTGCCTGCCTGGCTGCCATCGTGCAAACACGTCTGGCTTTCATTTGTGGAAGGCTTTAGCAGACAAGCTTTTTGTCAATCGCTTCATTTTCTGAAATACATTTTATTAAACCACTATACAAGACTACAGACAGGTGATACAGCAAGAGAAAGGTTAAGAGAACTGGAAATCTTTATGAAATGTCCCCATTTGGGGGCTTAGCTGAGTTCTTTATGCCAAAGATTATTTTTCTGCAATAAAACCACAAACATTGACAGCACTTTCCAAAAACTAATAAAGTTGTTCTATAACTCCAGCATTCCTATGGTTAGCTCTGGATATATGTTGGAATCTTACATTCTTCATTCTTTTCATTGTTTTGGACAGGTAAGTGCCATAGAATAGCAAGTTAATACATTTCCAGATCATGCACTAACACTTATTTGTGTGTGAGTAAGCTCTCACTGTGCTTGAAGGGATAGAGCTGCGTGTACTTTTTACACACGAATCTTGCAGTAAGTCCAGGGAAGAAAAGTTACCAATGCACTCTCTTAACTTGGGTAAGAAAACAAAACAAAGTTTGACTCTGTCCTCCCCATTGAATAGATCTAATGTGCTATGGTTGGATGCCAGGTGCCCACCAAGCCACTCTATCATCCCCCTCCTCAGCAGGACAAGGAGAGAGAAAGTAAGATGGAAACAGAATTGTGGCTAAAGACAAAGGCAGTTTAATAAAGCAAAAGAAAACAAAAGGTTTTATTCTTTACTTCCCATCAGCAGGCGATGTGTGGCCACTTCCTGGGAAGCAGGGCTGCAGCACACATAGCAGTTGCTCCGGAAGACAAACATCGTAAATAATGAATGCTCCCCCTTCCTCCTCCATCCTCTTAGCTTTTATTGCTGAGCAGATGTCCTATGGTATAGAATATCCCTTTGGCTGGTTGGGGTCAGCTCTCCTGGCTCTGTCCACCCCCAGCTTGCTCATGGGGGGGAATGCTGGAGCAGTGCTCAGCGATGGCCAAACCACTGCTGTGTTATCAACACCCTGCCTCCTACCAATTCACAGCATAGCACTGAGGGCTGCAATGGGAAACGTCAACTCCACCTCAGCCAGACCCAATATACGTGCACAGCATTGTAATGGAAAACACGCTCCTTCTGAAATTAGTCTGAATAACTCTAAAACATGACTGATAAAAAAAAAAAAAAAAAAAAATCGATTCCAACAGCAGAGTAAGTACTCTGCTCATTCATATAGAACTGTATTGCCAAACAAGAGACTTACCCAGTGCTCGCTTCATCATGAAAATAAACCTTGGCCAAACTTAATATCCGCTTCAGTAGGAGCGACTCCATTGGACCCAGCAGACATGTACTTGCTGAACTAGAGTGAATCTGTTTTCTAATCACTCATTCACACTGTTAAGTGTGTAAACAAAAGAAACACCAGGATTTCTTTTAAACAAGAAGCAGGTGCTACATCCCATCCTTCCCTGTTTACACCAGTGGGAGTTCTGCACCCAGGCGATGACTACGATTTTAATTTTTGCTATCAATGATCTTCACTTCATCTACAGCCTGCAACTGCTTGGTGCCATTTGACTGGGAAGTCTGGAAGAATGCACTAACAAGCAAAGGTTAGTGTTAACAATCACAACCTTTAAAAAAAATCAACCAAAAGATGATCAAACCCAAATGAAACATTTGCACAAATGACCAGCTATTGGTATAACTGCTGGGAACTCTTTCCTATCTTAAAGAAAACAAATAGCATATTAATGTGAAATCTAAAACCACATAAACCATAGAATTAGCAAGAAAATAAACATCTTGAGAAATAAACCCCAGAAAGCAGCATCCTTAAACGACAGCAAAGTGTGTTTCATGGACTCTCCTCAACTATACAACTGTGCCAAACAAAAATACACACCCAGCAACAACTGATGGAACACTTTAGAGAGAAGAGTCTTAAGTTAAAGGACCAGGTGGCTCTGGAGTTTGAAGACAGTACGATTCATTTCTACTAAAGACGAATTGTTAGGTGTTTGGCTGTTGAGATAGCAAGGAACTTGATTCATTCTTATAAAACAAAAGGCTTTTCATACCAGTCTTCTTCATTCTTTGACGCCAAACCAGGAATCATTCATAATGAAACAGCAACTGGAAAATGCATTAGATTTCCAGCTTGACCAGTGGAAGAAAAGTACTTTCAGAAAATGTATCTGAATTACAGTGAAAAGACAAGAAGCTGCTTTTAGAAGTGAAGCACACCACCTCCCCCGCGTTAATGTAACAGAACTTCAGAGTAAAAAAGCATTTAGTAAAAATTTTATTTGAAATGTAGCATGAACCCATAACCATAAGTGTTACAACATACAGTTTTACAGAGAATTTATTGTACAATATGACAGGTATTTCTATACATGCGCTCCCCCTGCTTTTATTTAGTCATTATATCAAATGAACAATAGTTAAAACAGGAATAACAAGCATTCACTTCTAAAAAGAAAACTTTGGCATGTATACAACTGGCTAGTTAGAAGTAAACAGTGGTAGATTCAAGTCAGAAAAAGACCCACTCATTTTGTTTCACAGCATTTTTGATCAGATGAAACTTACCAGCACTATTTTCTATTTAATACAAAAACGAGTACTTTTATTCAGTCCAGAGCCCCCTGTTAAGGGATGAAAACGTTTAAGCCTAAAAGGTGTCAGTTTTAAAACAGTTTAGGCCACACATATTTTGCACACATCGGTTTGGTCATGAACAAAACAAAACCTTTAATGGTTTGCTCACATTACTGAGCTATTATATACCACTTGGCACAACTGGCAATTTCTCCTTTGAACTACCATGAGTATCATTGGCTCAGAAGTCATGTCCACTGCTGGAGTGCAGGAAAAAAAAATGAAGTAAAACTTGCACTGTGCCCATCTTCTGTCTTGAGTTTCTGTCACTGTTGTTGGCCACTTACATACCTACCTAATTTATCAAAAAAATGAAGGAAAACAATTTGCAAGGCATTTCTTTCCAGCACACAGCAGACAATACTTCCACTTTAAAAACCAGAATGCAAAGAAAAACCCCCTGAATAATAACAAGCCCCCTTTGAGAAGAATTACTTGCAATTCTTTGAGTACTTACAAAAAAATACAGTATTTATACAACTTCTGCAGAACTGTAATTAACATATTTCAATGCAGTACTTATAAAATAAATCCATAGATACAAATGGTTGCACTTCTAAGCAGGAATATCTAACCCGGATTTAGGTTTTGTTGCAATTTCATTATTGCTGTGGAACAGACAGTGGTTCTATACACACTGGCATATCTAATCTGAAAAATGCTCTCCAGCATGTCAGAACACATTTAATGTAATTTTTACAGTTCCTGCTAAATGTTAGCGATTCCAAATTGACTGAACTGTGGTGCAGTAGGGCACAAATGGCAGAAGAGCAGTGGAGCAGAGGCAGGAATGGCAGCGTAACAGTACAGCAACACCAGTCAGACTCATACTCACTACTTCTTATTCCTCGGCTTTAACTCTTCTGCTGCATTTCGCAGAAAAATGTAGTTTTTCTTTTGTGGATTATAAAATTCATGACCCTAAAAAGAAGAAGAATCTGTATTTACTCTCTTCAAAGAAGAAATATCAGCATTACCTTAAAATGTTAAGTATATGAATAGCCCATTAGTTTGGTTTATTCAGATTTATCTTGAAGTCTTTAAGACCAGATACTGGTTGGTGTATTAGAAGCAATTTACTGTAACAGTTACAAGAATTGTACATATGAAGTAAAATTTAAGGGATATTTATCCATCTTTAAGGTATTAAAACCCCCACCTTTTCATATTAAAATAGCCACATATCTCTAAGCTCTACTTTACAGCTGCAACACAAGAGCTCAATATTATTTTTTAATGTCTTCTAGGCAGAGAAGAAACTAAAACTTTAACAGCCACCCTATTTCACTTGAATTTTTCTATCTTTTAAACAAACTAAGGTCAGTTTTTTTCCCCAAAGTGAAGCCCAAGTTCTACAGGCAACTGCAAAAACATCTGTTCCCCAATTGTGGATGCAAATATCCTATTTTGCATGTTGACATTATTTGCATATACATTACTCAATACGCATGTATCCAAATCAGGGAGAGCAAACACTAATAAAGCTATTAAAATCCAACACACAATTTGAAAATTACCAACTCTACTTGGCAGAAATGGTTCTAGAAAGGAAGTTTGGTACTTTGTACTTACTAATTTTACTACTCAATATTGATTTACAGATCTGAGAGATGCCTTGGTACATTCTACCAAGCACTTAGAACAGAATTCACCTGCTCTAGCATCTAACAAAGCTCTGCTACTTTGGGCAACATCCAGAAGACCAGATACAATGCAGTAAATGAAAAGTTTGCTCTCTGTGTGGCATGGAGTAGAGCTCATCTCTGCGTTCATGTCAAAAACATAAGGGATATTATCCTCAAATTTAAAAGCACTGGTTGTAAGAGGAAAGTAACACTCTTAATGGAAGTCGCCATTCAATTCAAATCAGTTACGTTTCAACATTGCTACTCCCACTTTAACTATTAAGAAACACTGATTTTCCATGCATTATGGTTTGTTGTGATTCTCTTGCATCTGTATGATTTATTGTTGAGTCAAGTTTATAACCGCCACCAGCAAGCCGCACTGAGCGGTACTGGAAATAGAGTATATGCCATCCAAAAACTGGCTTAAGTGTTTACGACCACAGTCACAGCTTCTTTTTGAAGTTAAACAGAATCTGCACAAGAAGCAAAGATGTGCATTTCAAAGTGATTTGTGGGAACCTGCTGGGTGCCACAGTGCCCCATGACACTCCCCACTGCAGAATGTGTGTGAGCAACCGGAATAACTTTTGCATCCTGTAATTTACTTTTCGCTCATCTACATTTGCAAAACAGCATTGTTTAGCAATCTTGTCTGACTGAAGCTATCACCCAAGGAATGCACTGCTGTGTTAGATTTCATTAGATGTCTAAAATGACCATTGTACATTTTCTTGCATGCTTGTGAAACTAGACTCAGCTACTATTTAAGGACAGTGAAAGCCCCATGTGAAATGGACAGTCTCAGCTGTCAACTGCAAGTATGGAATGCAAATCTAAACTTTACTTACCTTTGACCAATCGTAACTGGAAGCATATGCAAATATATTGCCATTATGGTTGAAGCAACAAGCAGATATTGGCTGGTCAAGTTGTTCTGATGTTTTTAGCTTTGTTCGTGCATCTTTATCCCAAAAGCTGAATCTACCATCGGATCCTACTGTTGCAAGAGTGCCATGGACAGGGTGAAATGCTATCCCATTTACCTGCAGAAGCAGAGAATTACTATGTAAAACACCATGCCTATGGACAGGTGATGAGAACACTCAACAGACATGCTGCATCCTAAAAAAGTAAATACACAGGGATTTTTCCAACTATAGGTTTTGTTGGGATTTTGGGGGGTTTTTTTTGGCTTTTGTTTGTTTTTTAACATTTTCAAATAGGTTCTGGGAAAGCAAACAAACAAAAAACACCAAAGCAATGAGGAAAGCATTACCTTTTTTGCAGCACTTAAAAATACAATGCATAATCCTATTACACAAATATATTAAGTACTGTTTCAAGTTAACAAGCGTCAAGTCCAACAAGATAACTGATGAACAGCTGATGTGGTACTTGCTTTAAGTGCAAAAATTTGTCTTTCCCCTTAAAGTATGACTGCTCTTTAAACATACATCTAAGATAACTTCAGATGAGGTAAAAGATCAAGGAGAATAAATAGTTCACAGCCAATTTTACATTAAGAGTGTATACTGCCCTGTAAAAATTATAAAGGAGTACACGCCGAATACTTACAGCATAAATATCCTGAGGTGCTGATGTGTTTGTTCCATTGGAACGATGACATTTAAAAGTGAAGTTGTCTTTTGCACTGGTAAGGAAATAATAATAATTTAAAAAAAGCTCTTTTTATCCTCACTGTAAGCTGAGCAATAAAGAACAGATGTTTTTTAAATGATACTTACGGATTTGGGGGGTTGATATAATGAATAGCTACTCTTCCTTCAATACTTCCAAGGGCAAATCCAGTAGGTTTGTTCACTTTGTCTTTAAAAATAGCAACACAGCGATGCTAAATTTGAGAAAGAAAGAGGATTTTAGACAGAGACTTGAGGGCCATATTTTCTGAATGCTATTTTCCATGGGGGCATGAAACATCACATGTACCAACACAAAGTAAAGCAAAAACACAAACTAGGTCAAGGAACAGGTCAATTCCTAAGGAGAATATGGGCCATGGTATTTACATTTCTAAATCATTATGAAGATCAGCCACAGATCAATAGCAAACCAGGCCATGTGCCATAATGAAGTAACTTGGTTTTGAAATATCATTCATTTTTACCAAAAAATGGCAAGCCCATTATTTTGACAATCTGTATAAATACACTCATAATAAATATTATCATTTACCTGGTGTTTAAGAGGAGATTCTATTCTTCTAAATTCAGAAGGTTGGTTCTCTAACTGATAAACTATCAAGCCCCTTTCTGCAGTGGCCACAGCAGCCATAGGATGCACCTGGATAAGGTTGTAAAAGAGGTTGGAAGAAAGCCACTTGTATTAATAGCATTCCAGAGAATTTGACTTACTATTTTGCAGAAATCCCTGAAGAAGATAAAAGAATTTGAATATTTTGGGGGAAGAAGGGGTGGAGGGAAAGTGGGAGAAAGAACTAAGTTAATCTGTAGATATATCTTCAAACAAAACACATGACTTTTTTCCTGCCATTGAGAAATTAAGCATACCAAAAATCTTCTAATATTAGCTGACTCCAGTGTTAACCACACTAGTGCTATACAAACTCAGACAGAAATAGGGGTAGGTCAGTGCTAGTTCCAAATTGGTTTTGTTATGCTAAAAGCATACTAATCATGTTTTGTATGATGCAAATACCCTTTTTCCAGAGCCTGACCAGGAATATCAGTGCCTGGTTTATTGCTAAAATCCCACAGAGGTCAAATACTAACATTTAGTAATTAGTACTGATTTACAGAAGCCTTAAAGACTGACAGTATATCCACACTCCCAGTCATATACCTTACACTAGTTTACCCTGTATCATGGCTTACCACATCTGCACAATAACATCTTTCAGGGAGCTGCAATGTCATCATGGGTGTTGGTGAACGGGTATCCCAAAACTGATGGAAACAGAAAAATGAACAAACTTATGCCTGGAATTGAGGATACACCATTTAAATTAGTTCAGTAAAGTGAATGCAATCAGTACCATGCTGTTTCATTCTTGACTATAGCCAGAATACTGCAGCTTTACATGAAGTGATGGTAGTTCCTTAATCTGCTTGGGGTTTTTATTAATGTTTATTAAAATACTCTCACTTCACATATTTTCATACATAGGTTACTAGCATGCTTTGTGTCCATGTGTTCAGGTAAAAATCATACCTTTAAAGTTTTATCCCAGCTTCCTGTCATCACACAGCTATAATTTGGTGCTTTAATCCAATGGATAGTCTTCACAGGCGCATCATGCTGAAGAAGAAAAGGGCAAACACACACACTCACTATGACAACAGTCCACATTTCTTGTTTATGCTCCTCTGATTTTGCATATATTTATACTTCCTATCCATTCAAGAAAAGTGATTCATTACTGTAGTCACAGCAGTCAGGGTAAGGGTTGGTCATGACCTTACTGTGTTGTTCAGTGCTCTAAGAACACCCACATAAAAAAAAAAACAACAACAAACCTCCTGACACAAAAAACTGTAATTAAGTCACCCTACATAGAAAGATTGTCACAGCAGGAATACAAAGTATGAACAGCAGGACTTTCACAGAGTCATAGAATAGTTAAGGTTGGAAAGGACTTTAAGATCATCTACTTCCAAGACCCCTGCCATGGGCAGGGACACCTCACACTAAACCATCTCACCCAAGGCTCCATCCAACCCAGCCTTGAACACTGCCAGGGATGGAGCATTCACAACTTCCTTGGGCAACCCATTCCAGTGCCTCACCCCCCTCACAGTAAAGAATTTCTTCCTTATATCCAGTCTAACTTCTCCTGTTTAAGTTTGAACCCATTACCCCTTGTCTTGTCACTACAGTCCCTAGTGAAGAGTCCCTCCTCAGCATCCTTGCAGGCCCCCTTCAGATACTGGCAGGCTGCTATGAGGTCTCCACGCAGCCTTCTCTTCTCCAGGCTGAACAGCCCCAACTTTCTCAGCCTATCTTCATAGCGGAAGTGCTCCAGTGCCTGATCATCCTCTTGGCCTCCTCTGGACTTGCTCCAACAGCTCCGTGTCCTTTTTATGTTGAGGACACCAGAACTGCACACAATACTCCAAGTAATGTCTCAAAAGAGCAGAGTAGAGGGGCAGGATCACCTCCTTCTACCTATTTACTTATAAAGGATATTATCCATTTTGCTAAAAATCAACACTTTGTAAGAAATAACATGCTGTATTAAAGTAATTAAAAAAAAAAATCCAGCTTCTGACAACAGCTACAGGAGAAAGGCCTATGTTAATTACACTGACATGCTACTTGATTTTAATATCAAGGCTGAGAATCTGAACATTATCACCTTAAATAAGATGCAAGAAGCAATCATTCAAAGGACTCTCTTCTTAAATTAGGTAACTGGTAACTCATTTTATCCCTAGAACTGCCAGAACTATGAACAGACATTAACATCTACATCTAGAATGTAAATTATAATTTCTGTTACTGCTGCAGCAAAAAGCTGGTATTTGTGAAAGTGAATTCAATGAGTTCTTAAGATTTTTTCCCCTCCTATAATGCAGAAGGGTGACTTAGTGAGATCAGTGCAGGAGTTCAAAGAGCTTTCTCAAGTAAAATAGAGGCTACAGCTACACAGGTTATTCAAATCACCTTGGCTGCAGGTCTCCCTATTCATGTACTCATCATTACCAAAAAATACAGAACACACCCTACAACCTCTTCTTCATATAGCATATCTACTTTAGAAGCACTAAACGTTAGCTTGATTTGCTAATAAAGGTAGCTTTTAATAAAAGAAGGAAAAAAAAAACCCAACCAAAACCTAGTAGTTTGAGGCTTGCTTACTTGTGCAATCTGGATAGCTTGATTACTGTTGAGATCCCACATTTTGGCAGTTTTATCACAGGAAGCAGTAAATACTTTACTCCCATCCTAAAAAACAAGAATAAGGCCAATAGATTAAATACCCCTATCATGCTACCATGCAATATTTATTAGAAAATTGTCAAGTCTTATTCTCTTCTAGTAATACCATAACATTAATGTAACATATACAGGGACTGCAAGACAAAGAAGAAACATAAAAATGAGAATTTATGTATGACTACGTTGTAAAAAAGAAAACTGTTAGCTGTTATCTAGCTTTAAATATATTCTTACTTTTAAACTCATTTATCCTTCTTACACCATGTTGGTGTATTTGATTAGGGCACGCTTAGCATGCATTTACTGTAACATAAATCTATACAGTAATTACAGGCTTCATCTACACATAGCACTCATGTCATCTGGAAACCCCATGCCATCTCACTTAGGGTTTAGGTAAAAACTGTTAATCTATTTTTAAATAGGAACATACATCACTCCAGCAGCCATCCAATACAGGCCCTGTGTGCATCTGCTGAGCCTTTGGAATTGTCTGTCCATTATCTTGAACTTCCCAGCAGCGAACCTGTAACAGGAGAAGCATATGCAAATGTAACGTAGTAACACGAAGGACTTAAAAAGACTTCTCTTGTTGAAGATCCCAGCCTTAGTTTACACAACAATAAATACAACACCAAACTTTTCTCAGATCTAGTGAAACCTTATTTTCTCTGATTATGTTAATTTTATCTGTACAGCCACAGCTCAACCCCACAACTTCAACTCCAGCTGAGAAGTACCTCATGATTACGTATCACCTCCCAGTGCTTTCCTGAAGAACATTTAACCCTCAGCTATGCAGGCTACTGGCCAACAGTCATAACAGTTAAAAAATGCTTCATGTTTGTCTAACCTCCCTGTTTGTCCCAGCTGGGATCTCACCCTTCAATCCAATAAAATTCAGTAAGGTTGTAGGAACTTCATTTTTTTGAGGCTGCACTGTCAAACCGGATGATTTACCGGTGTATTCACAGTTCTTTCACTGTGCAAAGCCAAACAAGTAGGGAAAATAAAAATAAAACTAATAAAAATCAAACAGGGAAAACACTATGTATTTCAAGCTGAAGCTTAAAACACACAGGCAGAGGAATGACTTATCAGAATATCACAACAGAGTTTCTCAGTTAAAGCAGTTTGGCTACATCAACCAGACATAAATTTTGCAGTGAGGAAGATTTTCAGGTGCTCTGACATAAGTTTTTAGGATTGCATTTTGCATTTTAGGCACCAGTGCTTCCACTTTATGAGTACTTACATCATTTGCCCATGATCCTGCAATGAGGAAATTACCCGGCAATGTTGGTGGACTAAATGCTAAACAAGATATGCTGTCATCAGGTGAAGATGTTACTTCAATATCCTAAAAAGGACAAAGCACAAAAAGAAATAAATAGCTTTAAACTGACAAAAGGGAGACTGAGATAAGACTCTGTGACAGTGGTGAGGCCCTGGCACAGGGTGCCTAGAGAAGCTGTGGCTGCCCCATCCCTGGCAGTGTTCAAGGCCAGGTTGTACGGGGCTTGTGGCAACCTGCCCTAGTGGAAGGTGTCCCTGTCTGTGGCAGGGGGTTGGAACTGGATGAACTTTAAGGTCCCTACCAACCCAAACCAGTCTGGGATTCTATGAAAGCCAAATCTGAAAACTGTGCACTGAGATCCTACTATTTCTATATGACTAATTAGTAGATACTGCTATGACACATTAAAACACAGCAGCAGAACAGCAGTTCCCACGGGGGGACAATACACATACCTTCATTGGATTATGGTTATCTGCAGTTGTACTGCCAAACATTCCGGTGCCTCCTGTACCAAACCCTGACGTTGATCCAAACAGGCTCATCCTTGCTCTGCAAACGAGAAGGCTTACTGAGACCAGCAAGGCCCTCAAGCATGCTTAAGGTGCCTCGCCACTAAACCAGCACAGCCCTCAGCCCGCCCGGCTGTACAAATACAAGCAAAGCAAACAATGACGCTTCTCACTGCGGTTGGACCCTGACACCTCCACCCCCCCATCCCCCCCCCACGCTCTGAGGGACCCCTGCTCGGGACCGCAAGAGCCACTCCCTCTGTGCCCCTCACCCACACGCCCCAGCCCCACATCTCTGCCTACATCCCGCCCGACGAGGCGGCGCGGATGCTGCGAGGACGCGCCATGTCGCGGTGGTCCCCGCTTCCCTGCCGGCAGCACCGGCCGGCGGCGGGCTCGGGCAGCGGCCGTTCAGGAGATCAGCTGGACCTGGGGCCGCCCATAAGCACGGAGCAGACCCGAGCGCCGGCCCGCACTCACCGGGGTGGCAGGCCCGCTCCGGCCCGCGGCTTAAACTGACGCGGCGCAACAGATACCGCGGCAGCGGCGCAGGGCAGGCCGCGGCTTTCTGCGCAGGCGCCGCCGTCAGTGGGCGGTAGCCGCGCCTGCGCCGTGGCCAGTCGATCGGGGCGGGCCGGGCACGGGGTGTTTGGGGGCGCTGTGGGTGGGCTCTGCGCGTCTCAGCACCCCCGCCGCGCTGCTGCAGGGCAGGTAGGAAGGGGTGAATTTCATGTTTCCCCCCTGCGCTGGGAGGAACGGGTCACCCGAGCGGCGGCGGCGGCTGTAGCCCTGCAGGAAACGGTGCAAACGGGGTGGAAGGAGGTGGTGTGTCAGGCGCGGCAGAGCGCGGCCAGGCCCGCCGCGGCGTGGGGACGCGCTGCCCGGTTCAGCTCGGAGGGTGTTCACCGCGGTAGGACGCTGCCCCGCCGGCTCTCTGCGGCCGGGATGCCCCGTGTTGCTCTGCAGCGCTGCGCCGACAGTCTTGGCCCTGCCCTGCCGTGCCGACGGGATCGGCCTTGCGTTCTTACCCCCGTTGTGCTCATGGACGGTATGAGGTACTAGCAGGTAGTAGCACCGCTGCTGTGCAGTCGATGAAAAGGAATTTTAATTCCTTTTGAATTTAATACTGCTGGAACAGTAGTAAATAAACCAACTGCATAAACCTGAAAATACTATAAGCATACTGTCAGCAACACCCATGCACGTGGCTGCGTAGGTCACTTTTGGAGTATTTAGTCTGCAGCCAGTCAGGTTTCCTCATCTAAAATTTGTTGCACGATTTAATCGCCACACTTTTCTGCTCCTTTGGACTGTTTTAGAGCCAACTAAAAAAATGAACAAGGGATTCTGTTACGATGTGCATCATTAACAGGATTGTTTATTAAGTTCTTAGCAACATTTGCTTGCTCTCTTGTTCATTGAAGACAAACAGTAATTTGGTTGCTGGAACATTTATAGCTGCTTGAGATATGCAGTAATGAAGAATTATCTTGACTTTTCTGTCAGAATTTACAGCGAACACAAAATGCCACAATCCTGTACTTAAAATAATTTACAAAAGGAGGCAATAAATTGTTAACAAAGCCTTTTACTCTCTTAAAAAGGTTGGTACAGCATCATCTTGTGCTGTAAGACATGAAGCAAAGCAATTCCTGATACCTTTTTTTTAAACTTAACATTTTATGGCCACAAAGAACATATTTCATTATCTTTCTATCTCTGTACCATTGCATTTGACATTGGTATATGGCAGAAGCCCCAGAACAGAAGCAACAGTAGTCTGTAAATCACAGTTTCTCTTACAGTTTAAAAGAGGAAAAAGAATAATAATCTAAATGCATAAATAATGAAACCTAGGAGGAAGCTGGCACATACTCCTTCCTCTGACATTTTTTCTAAGAGCAGTCAACAAAATAATACAGGAAAAACATTTCACTTGCAAACAAGCATTCATACCCATCCACCAAATTGCAGTTTGTTTGGTAAATAGACTCTGGAAAGGTAATCTGATGAAAGAGAAGTTAGAACTTGAATTTCAGCCTTCAGCTTAGATGCTTCCATAATTTCCAGCTAAAAAACCAAACCAAAACAACAAATTAATATGTGATGCTGCCCAGCCTCATCCAGGGGTAAGCAGTTAATAAGTAAGAATTACACTTGTTGGATGTGTAAAATCAGTATTACTGGAAATGGTGTTCCCAAATCCCTGTCACTGAGCTGAGATTCAGTTTATTGTATGTTTGTGTGTTCTGTAGTGTGCACCTCACAGTAACACAATTTCTAAGATTAGGATAACCGGCGATGAGAAGGTATGCAAGACCTTTTCTTCCTGTTTAACCATTTCACACAATGTATGCCTGAATTGAGATAGATGCTTCAAAAGCTACCGGCAAGATTAGAGATCGAGTAAGTAGCTGCTATAAGCATTCACCTACTTGTAAAGACATAATCTGTAATATTTAGGAGAGCCATAAAATTCCTTGTGATCATCAGAAGACTAATGGCAGGAAAGCTTTAAATACTGCCAGTTCTGGCCCACTGATTGAGAGAGACATCCCAGGGCATGGGATTTCCCTTTGAACGTGGCAAAACCTTGCTGGTTCTGCTAAACTGAGAGTTTGTCATCATATAGCAGGACAGGATTGCAGAGGGTAGGGTTTGCCCCCTGAGAGTAAGAAATAGGAAACAGTGGGTTTATACATACTTCTTTTTTCCATGTTGGCTGACAAGCAATGTAAGGTCTCTTCTGTATACTTGCTAACTTATTTTGATCTTGCTTTGTAAATGGAATCAGGACGTCTTTGCGTATATTTAATCTGAAAAGAAAATAAAGTTGTTAGATTTTCTGGTATACTTCAATATTTATTCCAACTTATTTCTTTATATTAAGCCAAAATAATGTATGACAAAAATAATGGATTTAAATGTTGGTTGTCTTTTAAGTCATTAAGTCAGATTGCGTTTTCTGTCTGTGAAACAGAAGAATACTATTTCTTTTGGGGAAATAACTAACCTCTGGAGATCAGATGGAAGGAGACCAAGCCATTTTATAGACGGAACGGTGAGATGATGGGCCTCAAAAGACATGGACTAAAATAAGAAAGGTCAACTGTAACATTCAGTGAGTTTTAGTTTAAATTATTTGAGCTAAAAGGGATACAATAAATAAGGGATAAAGATAAAAATAAGATACAAAAAATAAGCGATAAAAGGGACATGGAACTGTTGGAACAAGTCCAGAGAAGGGCCACGAGGATGATCAGGCACTGAAGCACCTCCTGTATGAAGGTAGGCTGAGAAAGTTGGGGCTGTTCAGCCTGGAGAAGAGAAGGCTGCGTGGAGACCTCATAGCAGCCTTCCAGTATCTGAAGGGGGCCCATAGGGATGCTGGGGAGGGACTCTTCATTAGGGACTGTAGTGACAGGACAAGGGGTAATGGGTTCAAACTTAAACAGGGGAAGTTTAGATTTGATATAAGGGAGAAATTCTTTCCTGTGAGGGTGGTGAGGCACTGGAATGGGTTGCCCAGGGAGGCTGTGAATGCTCCATCCCTGGTGGTGTTCAAGGCCAGGTTGGACGAAGCCTTGGGTGGCATAGTTTAGTGTAAGGTGTTCCTGCCCATGGCAGGGGTGTTGGAACTAGATGATCTTAAGGTGCTTTCCAACCCTAACTATTCTGTGATTCTATACCTGTATTCCAAGGTCATGGTCAGATTTATGAAAAAGATAAGTAGTTATTTTCACTGTCAGAATGGTGTATTAGAAGACACCTGAAGCTTACCGTATCTCCTCGCCAGAAACCATTCCTTCACTAAGATTTGCATCCTTCAGCCTATGGCAGATTCTAGACCCATTTCAGTCCCATTTAGGCTGGTCTAGTCTGAATAGCTTTGGTGTGGTTTTTACAGTTAATTTGAGACTGATTGCCAAAACAAACATAAAAATAAGCCTGGAGGAGCAATGACAATCAAATCTGGAAATTTCTGATGTTTTCTGCTGGAAAGTATGACATCATATAAAAATACCCCCCACAGATGGCCCAGTGTCATGGCTACAGTAAATATCTTAGGGAAAAGTGTAAAAACAAATAAGCGATTAATGATACTTCAGAATACTCCCCCATGCTCCCAATGGTTTGTGACTCCTACTTTCTGAGCCAGAAGTGGTGGTGGTGGTGTGTAACTTATTTTGGTGGGTTGCTTTTAGAATCCATGAAAACTTTTTGTCATCTATAGCACCCTACAGCAAACTATCACAGATTATATGTTGTATAAAGGAATACTTCCATTGTTTGAAATGAACTTGACATGTTCTAGTTTCATTTGATACACTTGTTGCTCTGAAACTGAACAAAATGAACTTACAAAGGAAGATGACAATTTAATTTAGTCCTGGAAGATGGTGTTTTATCAGTGTACACACCTTTGTAGGAGAGCTGAAGGTGTACCAAACAGTTCACTCAGTTCCTGTCCTTTGCCTTCCACATGGTCTTCCCATACCCTCATCTTTTAGCAAATCTTTAATAGCATAATGCCTTCTTGTTCCCTTTGCCTCTTTTTCTGCAGTGTTCCACACTAACACATAGATCCATAAGCAAATTCTCACCCCAGACCAAAACCTTTACCAACATAACATATTTTTGTGGAAAATCACCCATCTCACAAGCTATGTCCTCCTCCTCCCAAGGTCCCTCCAGTCTTCATTTCTCTTCTAAGGCAGAAACAAAGCAAACTGGAGAACACTTTTCTATTTGGAGTGCCTGAAAGCTGCTTTGTGCAGCAAGCAAAAACTGTAAAATACAGTTAAATGGTGAAATACAGTTAAGTGAAACACCTGTCATTTTCAGCCACTTTGTTTCAGAAAGAAGCATTTCTGCAGAGACACAAAGCCTAAAGGCTGTGTCTTTATATTGAAACAAAATGGTAAAAGGCATTCTAACCATATATGTAATAACATTTCATATGTTCTAGCTTCAAGGGTGGGCTACAAAACAATGTATTTGAAGTGGAAAAATTATACTCACCACAGATCCATATTTGTAGATGCACATTATTTCTACACCTGGGTTGCAGAGTACCAAATGTCAAGTGTCAGTTTATCTGCACACTAGGTGTGTGTAAGAATACTGCATTGAAAAAATTCAGTTTTATGGTGTAACTATTCTGGCTTTCTGATTGGTTCTTTATGGGTTACAGTTATTTTTAGACTATTTCAAAATAATCAGAATTTGAGCGTAATATGTCATCTTTATGCAGTTCAATGTTTCATGCTGCCTGTGTATAGTCAATTAAAACCCAAGGATAATCAGCTCTTTCACATGTTGTCCAACAGCTGTCACAGATGTGCCTATCTGTACTGTGTAACCCGTATCCCTTAGTACTATTGCTTTATTTGGTACAAGATTCCTATTAATATGTCAAAGCACAACAAATCATCACAAAGGGTAATGGTATATTCAGTGGGAATGTAAAGCCAGTACTGACATTTCAGTTAAACTCCTTCCATCCTCCTAAATATATTCTGCATAAATCAGGAA